CTTGAGTTATTAGACGGCGGGGTAAAAGCGCCGCGCGGCAGAAGCCAAGGAGAGGCCGCGGGACCCGCAGCCATTTTTCTGCAGTGGAGCGAAATGGCCAACTGGGCTTTTCCTTTGTTCCATAAAGGGGGATCCGCCATGTGAATCCACACCACGCGGGGTGGTGGGAGCCTCTAGCACGGTGCCAGACGACTCACTGAAGAAGGAGGATTTAAATATATATATATATCTCAAACCCTTAACAAAAAAAAAAAAAAGTAATGCGGATTTTTTTTTTCACCCTTATGATTCGGGATCCATCTTTGTCTTGTGTAACTAGGTCATGGCACACCCTATGTCAGCAGTTAACAATTTCGAATGCCAACAAAAAAAGAGTAAATACATTCTTTTTATATTTTTTTCGTTGTTTTGGGGGTTTTTAAGCTTTAAGCAGCTTTGATGACTGAACAATAAATTTAAGAGACTTCTCTCTTGTATTAAACACTTGATTCCTGGCCATTTTTATTAACTCCTTTGGTGCTTAAAAGGTAATGTTTTAAATATAGGTATAGGAATAGTGAATTCTGGCAAAAAATAAGGCAATTTTACTATGTTAAGCTCTTTCTCTTTCTTTCCTCTTACATTGTAAGTACCCAATCCATTCTGTCCTTGCTAAGTGTAGTTTTCATGTTAATGTTACTGAAGTGGTCCTTATTGCTAAGCCTTCATTTGCATGTCTTATGTTTTTGTCTGTTTAAACCAATTTATGCTTTCTGAAATATTTTACTTATAAAGCGAACTATCTGGCTAAGATATGCTTAAAAGTTGTTTAGCACCAGTAAATGTTAACTAGGTGTTTTCACACTGACATGTGCAGCCTAAAACTATTGAGGAGAATATTTTTAGTGTCTGCGTGCTCTGTGGAAAAACACTGAACGTCCTTTTTATGTACAGAGTAAATCTGCCACAGGAAGGTAGATTTAAGCCTCGAGCAGGAGTCCTCGCCTGTGTATGGTCAGTCAACATAGCTGGACTTTTTCTATAGCTTTTTTTCCCCCTTTTTTTCCTCTTTTTTGATGCTAGACCACTGCCACACAAAGATCCGTAACTTATCTTAACAAGATCCGCTTTGGCTCGCAAACTTACGAGAGAAGTGGTGATACAGATCACATATATACTTATAGCCATTATTTTAAAAAAGAGTAACAACTTCACCTTCAGAGCTGCATTCAACTATGGTGTGCGGGTAAGTAAACCCTTTTGCCCTTGCAGAGGAACAAATAGCCCAGGCCTGTAGCTAATGGTATTGTCCTGGGTGGAAAGATCCCAATGGTCGTCTGAAAGCGGTGGCGATCTCCTTCTCCTCAGAAACATCTAACAGTGCCTCTGAAACGTCTGTTTTCAGGGAGGGATTTGATTTCTTTTTCTGCACAAAGCTCTTGGTCGTCCTCAGCCCTGGGTGGGTTTGGTTTTTTTTGGTGCGGAGAGACGCTGTGAATCCATTGCAGGCATTACGTGGCTGTTAAATTGAAAGCACAAAAAAAAAATCTGCCTGTGAACAGTAAGATGTTAGTGAGGTTGATGTTAAAAAAGGCGAGAAGGCGGTGGTGGTGGTAGGGATCCCTTACATGTTTTGTCCGTCTAATTACAGAAGCTCGACAAAAAACAGGCAACAAAATGGGGGGGTGTTTTTCACGACGGTGAGTCTTAATGGCGGATGTCTCCCTAGAAAGCACTGTAAAATCCTTCATACCGAGAGGCAGTGACTTGGAGAGAGGGGGGAAAAAGGAGGTCTGGAAGTATATCCAAAATGAGGGAGTTTCCTTCCAAGTGAGGGACCCTTTGCAGCCTGAGTGTTACAGATGGAGAGCCGTGACGCAGTTGATATTCACAGCAGTTGTGCTTTAGTGCCGCCACCCAGCCCACGAAAATGGCCTCCCCGCCGAATTCTGGTGGGTTTATTATGTGAAAGGCTGCGGCAGCACCGT